GCCTGTTCTGCTCCCCACTGTGTCTCTGGTGAAGCTTCTCACTCTCCTGCACCTTTGGCCTGTACCCCAGTTCTGTATACATAAATAAATAAATCTTTTAAAAAAAACTGAAACTAAAGTTAAAAAAAGATTGGCAGGGTGAATTTTTTTAAAGTTGTCTATGAAAAGCTACTTTAGATTCAAAGATACATGAAAAAGTAAAATACATCCATTAAAGTTGGAAAAAAGATACATGATCCAAAGAGAAGTGGAGTGGCTATACTAATGATGAGATAAAAATTCCAACGTTGTCATTAGTGAGGAAATTTATTTCACTGGTAAGGAAATTTTTATAATGATAAAAGAACCAATTGGCCAGGAATATTACTCAGCAATAAAAAGGCATGAAGTACTGATACCTGTGACAAATGGATACACCACAAAAATTACCCTGAATGACAAAACCTGTCACAAAGATCACGTATTACATCCGCCCATTTACATGAAATGTCCAGAACCCACAAATCCAGAGATGGCGCCAGCGTGGGTGTGAGCTAATGGAGAATGACCGCTAGTGGGAATAGGGTTTCTTTTGTGAGGCAATGAAAGTATTCTGACATTTAGAGGATGGTGATGGCTGCCCAATTCTGTGAGCTACCAACATCACTGAACTGTACATTTATTTAGAGGCTGAATTTCATGTTATGTGAATATACTTCAATACAGCTATTATATAAAAGCTCACTTTGGGACTTCAGCCTCTGCTTGAATACTTGGCACCACGGAACACTCACATCCACGTAGGACGGCCTGCTCTGTGTCAAGAGAGGGCCTTGGGAATCTTTTTCCTAATTTCTGTCCTCACCAGCTACCTCAGTCTCTGATACAGTAGAAGCCCCCCACCAGGTGATAAAAAGATCAACATTTCATGATATTTTTAAGTGAAAGAAACAAGTAACGGAAGAGAATATTATATAACAACTTTTATCATGCGCCCACTTAAGAAACTTTTTAAATGCGCATTTTGTGTGTATATGTTCTCTATATATTATTTGATATATAGAATATGAATCACTTGTGCTTATTCATGTGCATGAAAAATTTCTCTTTTTTTTTAAAGATTTATTTATTTGTGCATACAGAACTGGGGTACAGGCCAGAGGCTCAGGGGTGGTGAAAGGCTTCACCAGAGACAGAGTGGGGAGCAGAACAGGCAGATCTATGAAGTACACTGCTGAGGGGAGCAGCGAGCTGGTCAGGAGAGGTCTGCCATGCCATGTGGTCACCTCCAGGGCAGGCGGGAATCGAACTCATGCGGAAGTGACTTAAGCTTCTTAGTGCTGTGCTTTAACCCGCTGTGCCACCAGGGAGGGCCAGAAAAAATTCTCTTTTTTTTAAGATTTATTTTATTATTTATTCATACAAGAGCTGAAGTACAGGCCAGAGGTGCGAGAGGTGGGCATGAAAGGATTCACCAGAGACAGAGTGGGGAGCAGAACAGGCAGATCGATTGAAATACACTGCTGAGGGGAGCAGTGGGTGGGTCAGGAGTGGTCTGCTGTGCCATGTGGGTCAGCTCGCTGGTTGGGGATCGAACTCGTGCTGCAGTAGCAATGGATAGCTTCATAGTGCTGAGACTTAATCCCTTGTACTACTAGGGAGGCCCACATGAAATATTTCTTGATGGATATTTCTAAATCTTCTGGGAAGCTTTGGGGAAAGGGAAGCTGAGGGCAATCTCTCAGTTATTTTCAACTTATAACTTTTAATACTGGTTTATTTATATTGTCATTAGCAAATATAAGTTTAAACGACTATTTTAATTTGGAGGGAAAAAAATTATTTCTGACTTGGGGGGAAGTCCCTGGTATTTTAATTCACTAATTCACTGTCACTTGGCTCCTTATCCTTAAGAAAGGCTGTCACTGGTACTATATAGGAAGGGTTCTAAGTGACATCTGAGGTTCCCCTAGCAGTGACTACTGTAATTACCACTGTAGGGCGCCTGCCTTCAAAATGACTGAGTGCAAAGCAAAGAATCCAAGAGCCTCCTCCAGAAAAGTGTCCCCATTTTCCATCTTAATCTCCTCCATGGAAGTCAGTCAGTATATACTTGGATTCAAAGACTGTCAGCTAGTGGACCAACTACAGTTGACCTTGAACAACACAGCTTTGAACCGCTCGTACCCCTTCACACATGGATAGACACCACAGAGAAAGTCACAGAACATGATGGAGACAGGTGCTTGAAAACCAGTGTCCAAAGATGAGTTAGAGGACAGTGACACAGTGACACCAGGACACACGGGCAGCAGACAACCTGGCAAGAGGGCTCAATGGGTCAAGATCGCTCTTGACTTCTTTTACAACGTGGGCCCTGCTGTGATTCAGGCCCTGGCACTAAAGCAAGCAATGGAAGGATTGGACAGAAATAATGTATTTCTGTAAAGCACAGAGTGGGCTGTCTCTCCTGCTTCCCCTTCCTCCTCCACCTCTCCTTCCCCTACCCCCCTTCCTCCTCTACCTCCTCCTCCTTTCCTTCATCCTCCTGCTTCCTCCCCTCCCCTTCCTCCTCCTCCACCTCCTCCTCTCCTTCCTTCTTCTCTTCCTTTTCTTCTACTCCTCCTTTCCTTTCTCTTCCCCCTTCCTCTCCTCCCCTCCTTCCTCCACGTCCCCTTTCTCCTCCTCCTCTTCTCCTTCTTCCTTCTCCTCCTCAGACTACTCAGTGTGAAGATGACCAAGGTCAAGGCCCTTTTGATGATCCACTCCATTTAATGAACAGTAAATACAAAATATGTATTAGTCAACTGTTTGTGTTACTGGTCAGGTCTATTAGTAACTAAGTTTGGGGCAATCAAAAGTCATATACAGGTTTTCCACTGTGCAGGAGGTTGGTGAACCTAACTCCTGTATTGCTCAAGAGTCAGCTGTAATTAACTAACAACTTGGCTGTCCCGCACAAGTATTCTCTATGCCAAGTTCTGCACTTGACATGACTTCAGCCTTGTGGGGTTTACAGTCACTACATCAGAACCTTCTGACCCTACTACAGAGTCTTTCAAAATAGTGAAAGCTGACAGAAGAGGCCCTCTAGAAGACTCACAGCTAATACTCTACACCCATAAGCCAGGACTCTGCCAAGACAGCAAGAATCCTAGTCCTAACAGGGCTATTCCAGGGTCAGAACAGCATAGCAAGGTGGTCCCCAGCTCCCACTTTAGAATTGGAAGACACCTTGATTTATCTTTAAAATGAGGCAGCCAAGAGGAAAAGTGACTTGTTTAAGACAAGTAATTCAGTTTTAGATGTCCCTCTCCCATCCCGTGTATGCAGTCTCCCAGTCATTTCTCAGACAAATGGAGCCCCATCCTCACCTCTGCCCTGTCACCCCATTACTTAAGGACAATGATCATCACACTGTTTAAGGAAGGCCTCCACAGTGTTGAAAGTTCCCAGGGTTGTCCCTTTGGCTTCCCTTTGGGGATTGTGGTTTTCAGCAACTGGAGGTGTCAGGGAGGTCTGCAAGTAAAGAATGGCAGTGGGGTAGGTGACAGCCCCGGCCAGTGATCAACCTGAGACTGATCTTGCACACAGCCAGAGGTGGCAATAAGTATGACACCTACTTTACCTTTGCCCCTAACTGTTAAGATCCAAGTTTACTAAATCCATTCCAATGATGCCCCGTGCTGGACATCTTAGATGTTTCATCTTTAAAGTTCATTCAGGCCTGCCTTCTAGATCTGCTCAGGAATCATGCAAACCCCTTGAATGTTCCACGATCAAAATTCCCTTTCTGGGATGAAGACAAAGCCAATGGAAGGTTTGGATGACATCAGTTTCTTGTATGAGGGGGAAGGATGAGGGAACAAGACAGGAACAGAATTGGGAAGGAGAGGGGAGAGAGAAACCAAGATTACCATGGGAGAGAGAAACCAAGATTACCAGGTTGCCGGAAAAACAAACTTTGTCATTTAATTAGCTTCTGCTCATCCACCTCTTGGCTCAACACTATTTTAACAGTCATTCATAATTATGAGGGCAATGCTAATCTGTTGCAAAGTGAAATTGAATATCTTGCAAACCATGTAGGACTTAATGGAATCAATTAAAGGCTTGTTAAAGAACAGAACTGCAGGCTATGCTATCAACAAGCATGAGTCAAGAAGATTAGACCAGCACAAAGATAGACGTGAGAAAATCAACAAAAGTAGAAGGCTTTTTCAGATGAGAGCACAAAAATATCAAAGCATTGAAAGATACCTTAGAGTAAGACAGTCAAACGTGTTCTATTTTTGCCAAAATCAGCTTTATAAAGAAAATGCTGAAAAGCGAGTCACAAGACAACGGACATCCGGGTGTGCTATTATACAAAGCTATTTGTCAACAAATAAGGCTAAAAAGTCACCACTGCTCTTGTTGTTTATTAGTCTAAGATTTAGTTGCATTTATAACTGATGTTTCTTAATGAAAAGGTGAAAATAGCTTTAGTTTCATAGTTTTCAGTTTCACTTCAAGAATGAGGTCCCAAGCTCTCTGAAATTCTATATCCCCGCTTTCTGTGGACTAATTTATAATTCATCAATAATTCAATTCTCTGCTTCCAATCACCCTCAGCTAAGGCTCCTGCCCCTCTGAGAACCCCAGTCCTGTATAACCACCACCTCTCGGCTTCAGCACCCTTAGCCAAGCTCACGTGATGGCTTGTCATGGAAGTATACAATAATTGGTATATGATGAGCACCTCTGACCTGTTCAAGTCTTCCATGTGCATGAACTCATTTACTCCTCACATAACATCAATGAGTAGATGCCGCAGTTATTCTCCCTTGATGGATGAGGAAGCTGAGGCAGAGAGAAATTAAATAACTACCCCAAAGCCACACAGCTAATTAGCGATGCCTAGCACCAGGTCTGGTGTGGTGCTGCAGAGTCAGCGTTCTTGTCCACGACGCCAGAAATGTACCACGTGCCTTTGGACTTCACTTCCTGCGGGAAGATACTGTGACTAGGCACAGACTTACCTGGCCGTGTTCAGGTTCCGGTAGAGCTGACCCAGTGACTCCAGCAGCCTGCCCTCCATCTCGCGGTCCCTGAGCTGCTGGGCCAGGGCCAGCCAGTGCTCGTGGTAGATGATGCAGGCCTCCGGGTTGGGACACACGGAGCTGTAGAAATGGCAGAGGGATTTGGTGACCTGAAGCTGACCTGAACATAAAGCAAGGACAGGAATGAGATGGCTGGAGACAGGACCTGGCAAGCTACATTCTAAGACTTTCCTCTAAGACTTGCCAGCCGCCTGGACATACTTACTCTTCAAGTGCCGGTGCTTGAGGCCGAAGAGCAATGCCACCTCATAGCAAAGGCGGCCACTGACCAGCTGACGTCCAGACACGAGGACTTGAGCCAACCAGAGCAGCACCTGTACTAACTCCATGTCTGTCTCCATACTGGCGGGGAGTTCAGAATAGAGCCGCACGGCCTGCAGGAGGTAGTCCCTGGCTGGCTGTTGAGCCCCAGAATTGAGAGCCAGGTGGCCAAGATTGGCCAAAGTCACCGCCTGATTTCGCGCATCCCCCATTTCCTGGGCCTTGTTCAGGGCCCGCAGATAGCTCTTGGCGGCCCTGTTCATGCGGCCTTCACCTTGAAATGCGAGTCCCAAGAGGTTCTGGACCACCCCTTTCTGGGTCAGACTCTCTGTCTCCCTCAGGGAGTATAACAGTGGTTCTAGGATGTCCGCAGCCTTCTTGGCCTGGCTGGCTAACAGATAGGCCCAGGCCAGGCAGAGGGAAGATTCAAAAGCTTCGTACTCACTCAGCAGCTGCCCCAGCACCAAGGCCTGGCTCAGGTAGTGGATGGCGCCATCAGGAGACCTGTGTTGGAGGTACACTTTGGACAGGATGAGACACACCGCCCTCTGGGTGCTCTGATCGGCCTGCTCCTCAGAGGCGGCCAGCACCTGCCTCAGTGCCGGGCAGGCCAGGGCAGAGACTTCTCCCCACCTTGGCGAGGGCACACCCAGGAGCTTGCTGGTGTTCTGGAGGACCAAGTGGACCTGCCAGATAGGAAGAGGCATCCCTAGGGCGCTCTGGGCTCCACGTTGCCGCAAAGAGGCCACTACGAGGTGTGGAAGATATTTCTTGTCGTACAGAAAACTCAAGATGACAGCCACAGCGTCCGAGGTAGGAGGGTGTCCAGACAGCAGGTGCAGACGCTCTGCGAAGGGCAGGACCTCCTCGTGCCGCCCAAGGCTCAGGAGCAGTCGGATGGCCAGGAAGCAGGCCCTGGCTTCCAGGGCACAGCTGCCCACCACAATGCCCTGGCGCAACACGTAGGCCACCACGTCCAGCTCGTTCTTGGCGCTGGGCTCTCGGTCGGGCAAGCAGGCCAACAGCGTGCTGGCTTTTTCCAGCAGGGCCGAGCCTTTATGCCTCAGCCTCTGCCTCAGGTAGATGGCAGCCAAGTTGATGTACAGCGCAGCCACCAACGGGAGGTCCTCAAAAGCCCCACTGAGGATGTGGATGGCCTCCTCAAAGTACACCCTGGCCTGAGACAGTTTGACCTTCCTGACACCCAGTCGGCCCAGGAGGAAGCAGAGCCGAGCATGGGCCCAGGTCATGTGGCTCCGCTTGGCCCACTTCCTCGAGGCCTCCAGATAGGCCACAAGCTCGCCCTCCTCAGAGAAGCTGTAAAAGGAAGACGTGAGGAAAGAGAAAGAAAAATCATAGAGGCTCTTAAAATGGTCGGCATAACCCTCATGGTCCAGAAAGGCTAGTATGGGGGCGAAACTCTCCGCCTCCTCCTCCTCCTCCTGACCAGTGTTTAGGTCCACGAGCAGTTCCGGGTCGTCGAGGTCATCGGGCTCCGGCAGGTGGTAGCTGTCTGAGGCAGCTGAGAGGAGCTCCTCCTCCAGACTGGAGTCCTCGGAGCCACTGGAACGTCGGGAGCCCAGGGCCTGACGCTCCTCCCAGGCCCCACGAGGCCTGGCCTCGCTGAAGCCCTGGGGTGCTGTAAGGACAGGCAGAGTTGGCAACCCTCAGCGCCTGCAGCCACGGCGGCCTGCTCTGGGCAAGAGGGCAGGGCGCTGTCCCGGAGGACGGAGGTCAGGTGCAGCATGAGCTCTACTCACCGCTCAAATCGTCTGGATGATTCTGCAGGGATTCAAACCCACCTGTGTAGAGACAAAGAGCAACGTGGCGTCAGACTGGAGTGGTCCCCGTGCCCAAGACTGCAGGGGTGTACTCCAGATCAGCAACCCTTAGGAGGCAAACTAAGGACTGGGCAGCTTTCTCCTTCACCATTAGTTCAGATGACAGGGACCTAAAGACATGCTTGTTTAACCCACTCGCCTCCTAGCTGGGAACTGAGGAAGGTGCGAGATGCAGAGTTAGAAAAGAAAAACAGGGAACACAAGCTCTATGCCCAGAGGCCTGGGCCCAAGGGGCCTGAGGCCCCAATCTTTTAGCGAGTCCATAGCAGGGTAGGGATACATTTCCAAGTGCAGGCGGCTTTGTGGACATGGTCTTGCCTCCCCACCGCCATTCTGATGAACACAAAATGCCCCCTTTATCCTCCTTCCTCTTCCATCACCTGTCTACACTCAACAGACACCAGCCAAGTGTGTGCCGTGTGCTCTGTGAGACTGACAGGGGAAGGTGACCAGAAGGGAATAATGAAGAGGAGAAAATTAAGATGTCTCTGAGGCTCCGAGTTGTCCCGGAAGTAACTTAGTGGGATGAGGTGGACAAAGAGTCAGTCAACCTGGTGTTAGACATTTTGACTTGGAGTTTCCTAGGCAGGGCATGAAGTAGATCTGTACCCAAGAAGAAAAGCTGAGACTTGCAAATACAGGTTTGGACCCACACCAGGTCACAAGAAGCAGGTGAGCTTCCTGGGAAAGCATTTGGAAGAAAAAGCAAAGCAGTGGGAGGAGGGAGGAGGTGGGGGTATGTGCACAGGTCTGAGAAACATCAGCCTTAACTGGTAGATGAGAGCCAGCAAAGGAGACTGATGAGGCATAATCAGAAGGAATGAAAGGGCGGTGAGGACAAAAGGGCCCGTAGCCAGAAGATTCTCTGTCTCCCTAATAGAGAAGCACAAGCTTCCTGTGCCCCAATCCTGGCTCTCCTGGGAGCATGAACTATCACCGAGGCAAGCCTCTGCCACCGTCCTATGGGCAGGGCCCTGCCTATGAATGCCATTACAGTTTTCTGCAGTGCTCTGCTCTCACTGCTCTGTGGATCTCCTGCTCTCTAACTGCAGCCAGTTCTCTCCAGTGGACCACCAAGCTCAGGACATGAGCTACATACAAGATACGCCCCTTACGGAGAGGCTGTCCAGGAGACAGGCTCGGGGGTGCTGGAATTTGCCAACAGAATATGGCATCTGCTTTGGCACCAAGGGAAGTGTGTGCAAACAGAAGATGCACTCTGCATCACACTCCTGGCTGCAGAAAAGAAGTGAGTGCAAGGGGTTAAGTGTTAGCAGTATGAAGCTCACGAGTTTGATCCCCAGCCAGGGAGCTGACCCACATGGCGCAGCAGACCTCTCCTATCTTGCCCGCTGCTCCTATCAGCAGGGTATTTCAGTGTGTCTGTCTGTTCTGCTCCCCACCCTATCTCTGAGGAATCCTCTTACCCACCCCCTGTGCCTCTGGCCTGTTCCCCAGTTCTTGTATGCATAAATAAATAAACCTTTAAAAGAAAAGAAAGAGAGAAAAAAGAGGTGACGGAATGCCTGGGCTCAGCCATTGCAGCAACAGCTGGCAATTACCTGTGACCCCATTCTGCCCCGCCAATAATACACCCTATGGTATACCTTGATTATCAGATCTAAGTGCCCACTGACCAGACAGCACCCACAGCTCCAGCTTCCTGGCTCAACACAAAAGGGCTCTGGATCTAGTGGGATGAAATCTTTGCCAGAGTGGGCACAGATGCCAAGGCTTTGTGCCCCCACAAATATTCCCTGGGCATGGAAGTAGACGCCACTGGCTGCCTCTGCTCTGGAAGCTGAGGGTCCTTCTGCAGAATCTCTGTCTGGATTCTGAGACCTGCCCCATCTGATCTAGACACAATGGAGTGGACACAGCATCTCCACCCCGTAAGATGGGAGAAGCAAGAGTCTGTCCTCAACCACTGCAGGTGAGTGAGTGCACTTCCCGAGCAGGGAGTGTGTCCTAAAGTAAGGGAAGGTGTCATTCGTTTGTTCATTCATTCATTCATTCATTCATTCCACCAGTCCTTCTGACATGCTGAAAACCACCCCAGGCACTGGCTCTCCACACCTGCCACCTGTAACGTACTTAACAGTCACTTAGTGGGGTGAAGAGTGGTAAAGGAGGAATTTCCCTGACTAGAAAACAGGAGCTAACAGTGTTTATCTTGGCTCTGAGTCACTTGGGCCTCAGTTTCCCAACCTGTAAAATGAAAGGAAGTGATTTTTTAGGCTCCTGCTAACTATAGCAATTCTATGGCTCCACCTTTATCGTTGGGCGTTCAGTCCTAGAAAGAAGAAGCTCAGTCACCGCTCAGAAAGGGATTTTCCCCCAAGATTAGGGTGGGAGGCTCAACAAGGCTGGCCTTCCTGTGGCAGCTGATTTGGTTTCCCCACATCTCATAGTTTCCTGCATAACACAGAAATGCCAAAATTTACAGTGAAAATGCTGCTAATCAAATATGACCCAGATCATCAACTGAATAGCAGTCAGGCCCCAAGTTCATGGGTGGGGTTAGAATCTAGAGATATCGCTCCCTGGCCAGGTTCACTCCCTTATCTTGAGGCTCCTGGGCTTTCAAGGCATCTGAGGAGCAAGCACTCACTGAGTCGGTGGACAGACGCGATGTCAGTGTGGGCGAGCGTGTGGAGGAAGGTGGCACCCTCGGCCTTCCTGTCACTTCCTGGGACCCACAGAGAGCATCTTTCTTCATCACTGAAAAAGGCGCAGTTCTTGCTCCTGTAGGCAAACGACAGGGACACGGATCAGTGCAAGGCTCCCTATGTGGTCCCTTGGTCTTTCACCCTCGGATGGAGGGAAGGACACAGAACAGCCATTGGCCATTTGCCATAACAGAAATCAGTCTCCTCCTTCTTGTGCAAATTATCCAGAGTCAAGGAAGAAGAGCAGTTAGCATACTAAATCCCTGGAGAATGGAGTCCTGCTGATTAAGCCCAAGGGGGGAGAAAAGTATCCTTCCTGTAAAAACTCAACCTTTCATGAAAATCCCAGTCCCTTTTCTCAATGTCAATTTCAACCCCATTCGTTGAGAACACGTGGTGCCAGTTTAATGGCAGAAAGAAGAATCAGCTGCGCTGAATAGAAGATTTGGAAAAGGATGACTGAAAGAAGTTTCAGGGCCAGTTTTCAAGAAAAAGCAAGAAACAGGTGCCGTGACCTAAAGGAAGGATGAAGAAAGGTTCACTGTGGTGTCAAGTAGTGGAGGGGGATTCCATAATACAGCGACAGTCTATGGAGCATTGAGAGAAGAATCTCTTATGCCAAGTGTTGGGAGTTGGCAAAAAGAAGAGTGATTGTAAGTCACAGAGATCCTTATATTCACTCCATTACATAAACGATTTGCCATACAAACTGATTTGCCATACAAGAGTTTGAAGAGTGCCTTAGAAAGTATTTGGCCACTACCTATCTGAACATTTTTTTTAAGATGCCTTTCAATGTAACCTGGAGATTTTTGTTTAACTTCAGAATCCATTTTTATAATAAAAGTGCCATGGAAGTCTAAGAGTTAATAACAACTAATATGAGAGTGGCAGATAAGGGAAGCTTAAAATGAATTAGACATATTCTCATTTAATCTACACAATTACATCTATGAGGTGTTTACTGTTTTACCTTCTTTTTTACAGGGAGAGAAACTGAGGCAGAGAATGAAATTGGTGGTTAGAAAGTGATAGAGAAGTTCAACAGTCACCGCTTTATCAACAGTTTCACTTTCCACTTTCAGTTACCCACGGTCAACCAGGTCTGAAAATATTCCATATGATACGATATTTTTAAGAGGCGGGGGAGACCATATTACTCATGTTCACTGCATGTATTGTTAGACTGTCCTATTTTATTGCTAGTCATTACTTTAATCTCTTACCATGCCTAATTTAGATGGTAAAGTTTGTCATTTGTATGTTGTAATAGAGAAAAAACAGAACTGATATTGGGTTCGCTCATCTCCACCATTATAGGCATCAACTGGGGGTCTTGTAATGCACCCCCCGGGGGTAAAAGGTGGGGGGCACTTTACATAGGAAGAGCATCCTGGTGAAAGCAGGATTGTGAGGAGACCAGAATGGGGCTTCATTGGCTGTCACTTATCATTTGCCCCATAGCTCAAATAAAGAATTGAAAAGCAGCAATGAGAAAGCTAGCAGCTAATATGAACTGCTCAAGGTCACCCCACCACCTAGTGACAGAGCTGGCTGTGATATGGTGTCTTGCCCTCTAGGCTGGGACTCTTCCCACTATTCTTACTGACCCCGACTTCTCCAGCCTGGCCACCATCCTCATGAGGGTGGATGATGATATCTACAGTTAAAGTCACTGAAGACTAAAAAATGAAATCATCTAATTTGTGCAGAACACTTAAATTTTGCAAAGCATTCCTGAATTTACCATTGTATTTACCCTTTGCCACAATCCTATAATGCAGGTATTTTTATGGGGAATATTAAAAAGTGTTCCATAATCAGTTCAGAATGACACAGCTGAATGGGATAAAGCTCAATCAACAATGAAGTTCTCTGAATCTGCCCCTGTTGTTTCATAGCTGATCTGCGACATCCTGATTCACAGGTATCAAACGTGTATAAGAAGGGCCTCCTGGTGGCCTAGGGGTTACGTCTCAGCACTATCAAGCTATTATATCTGCAGTCTGAGTTCGATCCCCAGGCAGGGAGCTGACCCACATGGCACAGCAGACCTCTCCTGTCTCGCCCGCTGCTCCCCTCAGCAAGGTATTTCAATACATCTGCCTATTCTGCTCCCCACTCTGTCTCTGGTAAATCCTCTCACTCTCCATATCTCTGGCCTGCACCCCAGTTCTTCTATGCGATAAATAAATAAAATCTTTTAAAAAGAAAGAGAGACGAGGAAACTCTTGGGAACCAGAAACAAAAGAAGAGCCCGAGCCAAGTTGGTTGACAATGGCAGATGGCCCAGACTTCTAGGGTCTTGGCTGGAACACTGACCCTCAGAATAGGGCTAACCTGGTAGTGTCACACAGGGACAAGAAGTGTGTGAGCAAAGAAACCTGTGGAACAGAAAGTATATGTGCACATTATTCACCTGTGTCCATTCAAACAAGGTATGGAATGCTACAGGCAAAAGAGAAGATTCTGTTGACAACATTTAGAACACTTTTTATAAATATGGCCAAATAATTAAACTTTTTGTTGTGAAACTGATGTTGAATGTTTAAAAAGATAAATAGAAGGAGGCATTAGTTTTGCTTCTATCATCACTCAAAAAATTTTTAAAGATTTATTTATTTATGCATACAGAACTGGGGTACAGGCCAAAGGTATGGGGGGTGAGAGGATTCATCAGAAACAGAGTGGGGAGCAGAACAGGTAGATGTACTGAAACACAATGCTGAGGGGAGCAGCCGGCAAGACAGGAGAGGTCTGCTGCACCATGTGGGTCAGCTCCCTGGCCAGGGATTGAACTCACACTGCAGTGGCTACGGATAGCTTCATAGTTCTGTGCACCACCAGGAAAGGCCCTGTCAGCATTCAAATTTTACAAGTGTTTAAATTTTATGTAATTGACCCACATGTCAAGATAGTCTTTTTTTGGGAAAATGAGTTCTTTGATTTTAATTGCATTTTGTGCAAATCATTTAGAAATCCTTTATTAATGTTTTTAATAAATACTATACCTCATAATTTTAGAAACTTAGAAAATTACAGTTACAAAAAAGAAAAGGAGAGCTTAAAAATTATAGAAATGCAGAATTATTAACATTATACCAATGCAGAGTTACTCTCACCTAACGAAACTTGAGAACTCAAATAGGGTAGGAACTTTAATTCTGAAAATAAATTGAGGTATCTCAACTTCTGGGAAGAATCCTTTAAACAGAGCTTTTATGTATTTATATCTTCTATCAGAATAGAATAAGTCTGAAAAGATTTAAGATTTTGTGGTATTTGCAATTTATGAAACATTTAAAAGTTGCAAATAAAGATGACTTATTTGGAAAAAAAGAAAAAAAAGAATTATCCTTCAACCTGGATCTCGGAGATACTGACCTGAGCTCCCTACTGCCCAAAGTCTGAGGGCCTGCAACTTCTCTAAAAAAGGAATGGGAAACTTCTGCTTCTCTGCTAAGAACATACTTTCCTGCTGCCTGAGTCCCTGGGAAAAATAAAACACCTGGATTTATGCCATGAGAAGATCTGAGGTCTGCACTGGCAGTGCACGGTGGAGGTACCATCGTCAGAGAACATAACTTGGAAAAGGGGCTGAGATAGGTGAATTAACACCACACAATCTAGACATAACAATAGCCTGAAGATTAATTTATAATAAGCATGGTTAAAATGATGAAAAATAAATAAATTAATAGAAGTTACAATGAAACAAGCATCTGTGAAAAACAGCAAAGTACAAATTCTAGACATAGAAATAGAAGCGTGGACATTACAGGCACAGAAGAGGAGAGAATTAGTGAAACTGAAATTTTTTACTGAGAAAAATCACCCAGAAAACAGTCTGGAGTGACAAAAAGATGAAAAGCATAAAAGAACAAACTAAGCAAATTTGAGGCGAGAATAGTTCAACATACCTCTAGTAGGAATTCCAGAAGAGAGGCTGAAAAGAATGAAAGAGAGGCAACATTCAAAGGGAGAGTGACTGAGAATTTTCCAGAATTGAAGACAGACATGCGTCTTCAAGCTGAAGAAGTACACCAAGTCCTGAGCAAAATAAATAAAAATAATTTAATTTTAAATGTGGTTTTCATTTCCTGAAGGTTATCAACTTTTCAAGTTTTCTATTTGTCTTAAGTCTTCTTTCTGCATTCAACCACCTGTTCAATTCATGGTATGAAAGAGTACAATGTAAAGGTTAAGAATATAAATAAGCAAATATAAACAAAGAAAGAAAAAGACGAGGTAATTATAAAATTAATGAAGAAGCAGGTAAACAATAAAAACAACCAACAAAAGAAAAACTGACTCTAAAAAGGCTAACTAGAATCACAAAACCCTGGCAAAACAGACTTGAAATTTTATTATTCCCTCTACACTAGAAAGATATTTTATATCTAAATTATTACTTGATGGTGTTTTAAGACAAAAACTAAAGATTGGGACATTTTACAATTTACAACTCTCCACCGATAAAATTACTAAAACCCAAACACTATGATGAAGGGAGAGAACAGTTTGCTGTATATATAATAAGCATGGTTAAAATGATGAAATAAAAGAATAAATTGCTATATGTATAACAATTGCTATATGTATAACAACTGATATATATATATATAACAATCAGCTTTAGAAACTTAGAAAATTGCTATATATATAAAACACTCACATCAATAATCAAGAGAACACCTTAAAAAAATTCATTAACCAATCATGGGAAAAGGTGCCTATCTGCAAAGAAATGACTATGAAGCTTATCATCAGCAAAAACAGATGCCAGGGAAAGATATTTTATAGACATGAATAGGAAGCCTGAGAGATCTAGCAAAAGGAAATTATTTTTATGTTTGATCCTATGAATACCAAATTTTATTTTTCTTCCCCCTCTGATTCTAGTGTATTGATTTTCATTCTTGCTCAGTTTTTAGAGATTTAAATATATAAATTTCCTTTAAGTAACTATTAATACAAATTGTGTGTGTGTGTGTGTGTGTGTGTATTACACTGTATTTGAATTATAAATTTGCAGTGGCAATTGGAAAAAGGCCAGTTGCAGGAAAAACATTTGTATAAATTTCTAAATACACAAAACCACAGAATGTTTGTTTATGAACAAATCCTGTCTTTAAAATGTATCAGAGTGAGAACTGAAAGAATACATATCAAATTCAATATTTTGCCTCAGGGAATAGGAAACAGGACTGAAGGATGAAAGAAGCAAAGGGTAACTGTGTCTTCAATTACATCTAAAGATTTTCCTCCCCTTAAAATATATACACACACACCATCTTTTGAAACCATAAAGCAGAGAAAGGGAGGTGGTGGCATTCTGTTACCCTCAAAAGCTGAGATTCCTAATGTGCTGTGGTCAAATGCAGATAGAATGTCTATTCAGGCAGAAAGTCTGCCACAGGCTTTCACCACTGGTTTTCCACCTGCAGTTGCTGTGGAAGTAGATGACTGGTTTTGCAATCTGTGCTGTAACAAGTGAAGGAAATCCACTGATTTGATCCTGTGAACAAGCAAAGCCCTTTCCCACACATTAGAGGGACAGGCTAAATCTGACACTGACAACAGCTTCTGAGAAATTTAACTCTCAATATATTGCCAATTTGGTTAAAGGATAAGTAAACAAATGACTACACATTCATGCTTGCACAAAGACACATGAAAACTCTCAAGGGTGTAATGCACCAGCACAGCAGGGACTTGCGGAAGGAGATCCAGGCCAGCAAAATGCTACAGCGGCTTCAGAAACTTGATGCCGATGGAAAATAGGCTAAGAGTGACATCTCGTGGCCAGATGTGGCACAGCTCACAAGCACCTTCAGGCAGGTCTGGGGTATTCCTCTGCTGAGGGTCAGGAATGTCTGAAATCTAGACAGTTCTTTGGGGCAAACAAGAAGCCAGCTCCCTCTCTGTTCTCCCCACACACCGCCACCCTGTCTTTACCTCACTGTCCCCTCCCTGAGGAATGTGCAGTCCTGGTGCACTGGGTGATCAGGTGAAGGCTGAGGGCCCACCCTGGAAAGTAGGTCTGGCCCTGCCGCTGTGATGAGGGGGTGCTGCTCTTCAGGGTGACGGTGTAGCAGCTACAACTATGCCAGTGACAATGTGATGTCACATGAACTGAGAGCTACTGAGCTGTTACCTTGGGGACAAGATATTAGGTGCAGAAATCCAGACACAATTCCTGAAATCTACCTGCCCACAGAATCCTATTAAAATTACCTGTGATATCTGGCTTATAGTAATTACATAGTGTGACCTCCATCCATGTTTTCTGGCTCACAGCTCCTAAACCCATTAGATTTATAAGAATTATAGTGTTAGGGGGAAAGGATGTCCTAAAGGAACTCTGCAGTCTTCTGGACTCCACTCCAGTGATTGGCAACCACAACTCCCAGCAATACCAAGGAGAGGACTTTAAGGACCCAAGGGCAGAGCTCATCAGGCATTCTGGGATTTTGGGGAAGAAATAGGGGGTCATTTTCTACACACTCTCTCTCTCTTCCAGGACTGTGTGGCTGGTGGCTATCAGTGTGTTACTGGAGTTCCAAGTCAGCCGAGCTGGTAGAATGTTCTAGCTGCCTTGTATCTCTCTCTCTTTCCTTGGGTTGTTTCTTTTCCTTTCCCCTTTTGTAAATAAACCCATTTTGACCCTTTTTATGTGTGCCTGCAGTACAACTAAATTTTAAAAGTGCAGGTGAAGACCCACAGACAGGCAGCCCAGTTCACACTGGGGTGCCCTGTAACAACAGGAACATCATTTATATTCATATTGCTTTAATACAATTTTTGTTTTAATATCCTCAAGTTCCTGAAATTGCTTCTCTGCCACAAAAGTGAGCCCATGTCGTGTTATTCACAAAAAGCCCCTTCAGTAGGACCTGAATTTATGTTGATGAGGTAAACTTTGGGAACCCCCTAAAGATGGGGGATCTGGTTGCCAGGGAGCCAAACTTGAAAAGAGAGTTGGAACTTTCAGTCCCACCCACCCCCCCCCCAGAGAGACTGGAGCTTGACTCAATCACCAAAGGCCTGTGATTGAATCAAACAAGTCCAGGTAATAAAAGGCCCCAAAAATGAAAAAGGGAAAAGTATGGGAATTTCCAGCATGGGGAACCAGAATGCTGTCCATGTGAAAACCCCCAAACTTCTTAGGACAGAACCTGGTTTGTTCAGAATCCTAGGCAGGGAAGTTCTGGGTTCTCTCTCTCTGTCCTGTGTGTGTGTGTGTGTTTTCTCTTGATAGATAGAGATAGAAAGATGGATAGAGATAGATAGAAAGATAGACAGACAGACAGATAGAGATAGAAGGATGGATAGATAGATAGATAGATAGATAGATAGATAGATAGATAGATAGATAGATAGATAGATAGCAAGAGAGATGAATAGATAGAGATAGATAGAGATGATAGACAGACAGACAGACAGACAGACAGATAGAGATGATAGATTGCAAGAGACGGATAGATAGCAAGAGCGAGAGAAATGGATAAAGATAGATAGATAGATAGATAGATAGATAGATAGATAGATAGATAGATAGATAGATAGATAGATAGAGATGATAGACAGAGATAGATAGAAATGATAGAGAGAGAGAGAAAGAGAGAGAGAGAGAGAGAGAGAAGTATCAGGCTGCCTTTAACTTCTCTCTGACAGGCTGCCTTTGACTTCGCACTGCCCCCCTGGACAGGCTGCTGGTTGGTCCCTACACAGCCCTGTGCTTCAGACTCAGCCCTTCTAGACTAAGGCAGGAAGAATAAAAGACACACTCCACTCTCAGAGCCAAATGCTCAGCACTGAGCTTTCAGCCAGCCGACCTTGACCACACTGTGATCCTCCTTCCCTCAATGAAGCCTTTCATTGGATGGGGTGTGGCAGGATGCAAATACCCACACTGCACCCTCAGTGCCCCCGCAGCCCCCCCACCTCAGGGCTGGGAGGAGGCCTGCCCGGCCATCTGTGGAAAGGAACTGAACTAACAGCCCCGCACGCTCTGCCCAATCACCCGTGTCCTTCTGGTCACTCCTCACCAATCTTGGCCATTGAAGCATGCACCTCTGGTTCACTTACCAGAGAACCCCAAAGTTCACTGCACACCAGCTCAGAATGGGGAGGGGCTACTGGAGGATGGCACCCCCCCCACACACACACACACATACACACACACCCCACTCCAAGGCATCCCAGAGGGCCTCTCAGTCATACTTACATTGGAGAGTAAGAGTCAGGATCTATGTTCCTGGTGGGGACGAAGCCCACCTCTCCTGAGCACACCGACCTCCCGATGAACCACTGGAGCCCAGGGATGACAAAGCCGATGATCTCAATGCTTTCCCCCTGGTGTAAGCTCAGCTCATCCTTGTCTTCCCTTTCATATTCTTTCCAGACCTTACATTTCCCTCTGCCTGCAGGGAAATAGCACACAGGTGAAATCATCAGCTATGCTTCCCCTATGTTCATTGTAATATGAAATGAGGGCTCTCCAGAATTTAGAATTTCAAGTACCAGTAACCCACCCTCCAAAAAAGGAAGAACTTGGCAAATGTGACACAGGCAAATTGGCTTTTCATGTAGACACTCGAACATTCCAGAAAAGGAGTGCCACCCACTTTTATTATCATTTTTATAAAAGGATTTTTAACAGATGGAGACATGATCTTAGGAAACTGCATATACCTTAGAACTGAAAAGGTCAGCTTATGGGAACTGGAAAGGTCATTCCAGCACCCCACTTCCTCCAGCCTCCACCATCGTGTAAAACCACGTCCGTGGCAAGCGTGACCGCCACTGGAGTCTCTCCACTCTTTCCAACTCTGTGGCCACTGCGACCCTCTAACAAACACTAGGAAGAGCCAGAGGAGTAAAGTAAGTGATGCCTGGTACCCGGTCAGCCATGCCAGTCTCAGGTCGCTGGTGGAAAGGAAAACTGATGACCCAGCAGAATCGAGAAGATTCCCCCTCTGACTCCAGGCATTACCCAGCTTAATAAGTAGCCAAGTGGAATGTAGCAGTGACATTCTTGACTGTTGTACCATCCCGTGAACAAAGTGCACGTGTCCACCTTCTCAGGTCTCCCAAAGAGCGGCAGGACCACGGCCAGCACCCTTTGCTCTATAGACCAGTGGGAGAGCACAGCCAGGGTGCGGGGTTCCTCCCACCAGCATGTAGGCGACAAAGCTGAGTCCAGAGCTCCAGGTTCCCAGAGGCTGGTAACACCTCTTTCCACTGATCCTGTTCTAGTTGAGAAAAGGGCTTTATGTGCCTTCCAGTTTAGCTCCTCTGCTAAAGTAACAGGTTTATTTTTGTCCTGACATTTCTGGTTAAGTTCCTATTCGCTGTTTTCATGATGAGAAAGGCTCACTGCTCTAAACACTGTTTAGTTGGACTAAACTAAACCTAGTTGAACATTGTGAGAAAAATGTACTGAGTGGCCTGCAGGTGTCACTTAGTTCCATGTCCAGGACAACCTTGACCTTGGCTCTGTGGTGCTGGCTTACAATGGAGAAGCTCTGAGCTGGCTGAAGTCATGCTGGTTTTTATACTGCAGAATGGAGATCTGAACCTAGAACTGACTTCCCAGCCCTGTGCCCCGACTCTTCAAATTGATAAAAGCATTGTAATGAGTGGTTATCAATTTGATTGTCTGGATTCCATAGTCTCCTCTATTTCTAATTTTTAATTTTATTTTTTTAATATGTGTTTTGTTCTGGGTCCTCCCTGGTGGTGCAATGGGTTAAAGCACAGAACTACAAAGCTAAAGTTGCTTCAGCAAAAGTTCGAGTTCCAGACAGGAAGGTGATCCACATAGCTCAGCAGACTTCTCCTGACCTGCCTGCTGCTCCCCTCAGCAGTGTACTTTGTCAATCTGTGTATTCTGCTCCCCACTCTGTCTCTGATGAATCCTTTCACCACCCCTGCACCTCTGGTCTGTACCCCAGTACCTAAAATATATGCATGTATTTATACACAACTAGAGTACCTAAAATATATGCATGTACTTATACATGAATATATATATATATATATTTCATTCATTTATTCAAAAAAAATGTAATGAGTACCCATTATATACCAAGTCCTTATTCTTCCTAAATTCTCATTTCTTATTCTTCCTTCCTTAATTCAAGATTAATTTCACCAATCTCTAATGGAAATTAGAAAATATTTTGACCAGAGATGGAAAGCAGACTCCTACAGCCAGAATTGGCCATACCAGGCTTTTCCACCCATGTATCTTCAAGGCCCTGTGGTCCCTGTCATCCCCCACTATCCTGCATTCTAGTCCTAGGGGGCTGCAGACTCTCGGATCCACAGCCCTACACGGAAACCTCTCAACTCAGAGGCAAGAAATCCCATGTGTCAGCTAATAACTTCTTTACACATCCAGCTAACTGCCCAGGTGATGCAGGGATTCACACCAAGTGGCTCCAAACTGCAGCTAGAACCAGGAGGCAGAGCAATCTCATCTCCCCAACAATGCTGCTTTCAACCCAGTCATACCCATGTGACAGGAGCCTGTCCAGTCCTTCTTCTTGGGGAGGCCACAGCTCCCGAGATAATTCTTTAGGAACCACCTGTCAAGAGGAACACAGGGTTTGCAAACTTGGATTTCAAAAAACGACAGCCCTGAGCTCACTGATTGGTCTTATTAAAATAACAGATGGAGGGTGGGGGAGGACTCCCTGGTATTGCAAGGGGTTAAGTCTCAGCGCTATGAAGCTCTTGCCAGCCACTGTGGCACAAGTTCAATCCCCAGTCTGGGAGCTGACCCACATGGCGCAGCAGACCTCTCCTGAGCCACCCACTGCTCCCCTCAGCAGTGTATTTCAGTTGATCTGCCTATTTTGCTCCCCACTCTGTCTCTGGTGAATCTTCTGACCTCCCCCAACCACACTGTGATCTACACTCCAGTTCTTGTATGCATAAATAAATATTTTTAAAAAGAGATTAACAGATGTGGATGGTGATTAGCATCATTGGTAGTTTCCTTGTAGTGATGGCATACCTTTCCTGAGAACTTCCTTTGCACCAGGGACTGTGAAAAGGAAGCAGTTCCTCAGAGCTAAATGTTTCAGCCTCTGCCATTAGTCTGGCAGTTAAATGATGGAGGATCTCCATCGTCACTGTCATTCTCTACCACAAACACACAAGGCCCATGTCTGGGACAACACTTATTGTCACTGCAAGTTGGAGTTCACAGAATCTTCTAGGGATTCACAACCTTTAGTGTGAAAAACATCCCTGGTGTAACGGAAGCTGATGTTTTCAAGTGTTATTTGAGCTCAGACCTTTAAAAAAAAGTAGCTTGTGCTAGGTGGATGGAAAGACCTATGTATAATGATGATATCTAGGAAATATTAAAGCTCATTATCCAGGAGACACTATACTTACAGATAGGTGTGTGCATACATACACATATTCACACCCACATAAACTTATGTACAAACAGAGAGTACCCAAAATGTATGCATGTATTTATAATACAGGTATATATTTCATTCATTTATTCAAAAAAAATTTCCAGGCCCTCCCTGGTGGCGCAGTGGGTTAAAGCACAGCACTGAGAATCTGAAGCCACTTCCGCATGAGTTCGATTCCCGCCTGCCGCCTGCCCCGGAGGAGACCACATGGCGAGCCAGACCTCTCCTGACACGCCCGCTGCTCCCCTCAGCAGCGTACTTCGTCGATCTGCCTGTTCTGCTCCCCACTCTGTCTCTGGTGAAGCCTCTCACCGCCCCTGAGCCTCTGGCCTGTACCCCAGTTCTGTATGAATAAATAAATAAATCTTTAAAAAAAAAAAAAATTTCCAGGTGCCTGGTCCCATGGGTGTCCGTGGCAAGCTGGGGGTCTGATTGTGATCAAAAAGCCCCCAGCCCCAACCATGGGAGACATGACCCTGCAGACCAGGTGCAGCGTCCATCTGAAATTTAGAGTAATATCCAGCTTCAAAACACTGTGCAAACCTTGACTCTTTTTTAAAAAAAAATAACAGATAAGAGGCCACCCCACTTGCTTTTCCCTGGCAGCACAGGTGCCCATATCTGCATGCGTGCCTGCTCTGTCCTGTGCGAACCTGGTCCGCTCTGGGGAACCGCACCCCCAGGCTCAGCGGGGGTACTCACTGGTGGAAAGGAAGAGGCAGGGGTTCCAGGGCTGAGACGGAAACCAGGCCCCTCTGGCCAGTCACCAAGGACACGCCTTCCCACTCGGACCCGCCTTCCGCAATCTTCACAGAGATCAACTCATTCTTGCAAAACGGCAAACACTCTCCTTCCTTCTCAGCTGACTGAGCCACTGAGCACAGGGCTCTGCAGAAGAAGTGCCCTGTAGGTAATGAGAAAAGCCTTTTCCAAGGAGTAGCAAGAAGTGGGCAGGGATTATCACCTGTTATCACGCCCAAACACTTTTTCCTGGGGGCAAAGTGCAGACCCTAGAAGGGGTGGCACTGAGGAGGTCACGGTGCCCCCCTGAAAACTGGTTCTAAGGAGAAAAGGGAATTCAATTAAAATGCACAGGAAAAAAATGTCTGATTAATACTTAAGAATAAGGCTTAATTGGGACTTCACCTTGAGGAAAAAAATGAAACAAAAACTTGAGAAAACATACTTAATAGAACGCCAGTTATAACTGCAACCTCATGCTTGATCTTAGCACCAACAAAGGACAAATTCCATTGATTTGGGTGAATGTAATTTCTCGGACTCAACTTTATGTTCACATAACCTAAGGCTTCCCTTCGTATGTAATTGCTGCAATGGAATTAGAAAGAATCATTTTGCAGAAACACCCCAATCTGGCTCTTTCGGTGTGTCCACTGTTTTCAGTTATGACTGGGCTGCTGTTGCCTTGATCAGATCCTTCCTTGCAAACAGATTGGTGAGCACTTGAAGAAATCACAATGTTAGGGATCCCTAACATCACTGTCCTCGATCCCATGAAATCCTTCAGACAATCCAAACATTGCAATTTTATTTTACATGCAAAATAGATCCTATATAGAGAAGTCATTCTTAAGCTTGGATGCAATCAGAATTCCTGGGAAACTTTCAAATGATACCAAAACCTGGGAACCGCTCCCCACCCCCGATTTAATTGTCTTGAGAGGAACCCTGGCCTGGGCATTTTAAAGGTCTCCCCGAGAGTTCTGCCGTCGGCAATCATGAGAAAGGCCAATGTCACTTCATGAGACATCAATGTTAAGCGGAGAGCTGTTGGAGTAATATAAGAGGTGGGTTGGTTTGAAAACATTTTTGTGTTTGAATGGTTTTGCCTCTTTTATAGACTTTGGGGATGCTGACCATACAGAGCCAGGTAAGAACACATCCTCCCACTCCACCCTGCTCACCTTCCTGCTGCAGGAGCCCCAGGTAGACGGCTTCCAGGTGTTTGTCGTCTACGGACACTTGGAGTTCTGTGTCCTCCGCCATCCTGCTGTTGAGCCAGTACTGGTGATCAAAGAGGAGGTGCTCCAGGCACGCGGATACATAGCCTAGGAGCAAGCCAACAGGAGCCTGGAGGGTTGCTGCCATAAGCTACACATACAAGAGGCTAGCTGAAGGCCTGATCTCCTCCCCAGACTGACCCCATTTAGCTGGAGTTAGCATCAGAGGAGTGATTAGACATATCTAGAATGAGCTATGCATACAAGAGCCTGGCTTGAAGGCCCGGCCTCCATCCCCAGACTAACCCCACTTAGCTGGAGTTAACATCAGAGGAGTGATTAGACATCTCTAGATGAATCAATTCTTCTCAGCATCTGCTGGGATATATCAGGCCTTTGAGGGTGACATTTATCATTTTCAACCTATTACAAGCCTCCATACATGAATAATGGCATAAGCAAAGCCAACTACCTTCTTCAAACACATCCAGTGGTATAAGCTCCAAGATTACAATGTCGCTTCTGGTGTTTCCTGCCCCTTAAAGCTCTCCTGGCCTGAGTTCAAATTCCTGTACCCCTGACCATGACTGGAGGGGAGGGGTTCTCTGGGACCCACAGAGAGTCAGGCTGACCCTGACTCTCAGCCTAACCCTCCCTCATCCCATGCCCCAGTAAACCCCCTCATTGAAACCAGATAGAAACTAAGTAAATTGTAAAATTCAAATAGCCATATATGGTACTTTATCATTGGTCATATATGCATATAAAGTGATTTCTTTGCATTAAACTTTACTTCTCTTGAGAAATCTCTTTCTTGAGATGCAAACACTGGTCTCTTGGTCCTGCTGTTGTTCTGATTAGGGTCTCATGCATCTATCATTATGCTTCATAGTTTAAGGTGCAACTAAGGACCTGGGGGTCTTACTCAAATACAGATGCTGGCTCCTTATTTGGGGGCAAGCAAGGGATTCCACCTTTCTAACAAGCCCAGTGTGATGCTGATATTGCTGGTGCAGGGAGAACACTTTAAAGAGTGAGAATCTCTAATCAGCACAGAAGGAGAGGTGTGGCGTGGAGAGCGCAAAACCACTCTGTTACCAGCAGAGTAGTTATGCCTCTACCAAGAGCCATGTTGATCCTCCAGGCCCATACGAGGTGACCTCCTGTATATATCGAGAAAGGGCAGTGGGCCATTCCTCACCACATCCCTCCATACCTTCTAGAAAAACTTGCAGCCTGAGGTCCCTTTGGCTGACAACTCCCCCCATCTTTTATTTTCTGTCCAAAGACCTGGGGTAAAGTATCCCAAACTTTATTATTTTGAACAGCTACTTTGGCCTTACTTAAGCCTAGCTCCTTTTTTCTTATTTTTACAACCATCTGCTTTGCATCTATCTCAGTACTTTGAACTTAGTAGATGATCTATAACTTTGTCAACTGATTATCTAATGAAGTCTCTCCCTGAAAATAAGTATGCTGCCCATGGCATTTAGCATTGCAGTTAATATTTGCTTTAGACTTAGTTCCAAGAAATGTATGATATCTCTGGAAGTTAACCACCCAGGGGTCTCCCTAGTGGTGCAAGAGGTTAAGTCAGCACTATGAAGCTATCAGCAAACACTGCAGCATGAGTTTGAGCCAATGCCAGGGAACTAACCCACATGGCATAGCAAACCTCTCCTGTCTCACCCACTGCTCCCCTCAGCAGTGTATTTCAGTGGATCTGCCTGTTCTGCTCCCCACTCTGTCTCTGGTGAATCTTCACAGTCCCCACCCCTACACCTCTGGCCTACACCCCAGCTCTTGTATGCATAAATTTTTAAAAAGAAACAAATAAAACAAAACCAAAATAAATTTTTAAAATGCTAACCAGCCATATTAGAGTCAGACCAATTCCTTAACATCAAGACCTGCAGGCTGACTAAGCTGTTCAGCAAGTGCTCCCCACCTGCCTTCTCAAAGTCATACCTAAGCTCAGGTAGGTGGAGAACTTCCAGATTTCCTCCATGGTCTTGAAAGTGATGAGAAACTGTGCCTTCTGGGACTGGATACTCACCAACCTTGCTGAGAGTTCCTGAACAGAGATAACAGCACATCAACTGGATGACTGTGTCCCACAACAAACACACATCTATACAAAATGCTTTGTGCAAATTCTTGGTTGTGGCGCTGATTTTTACATCACCATAAAGAAAGCAGTCTACCTAAATGTACATCAGTGGGATACAGGTTAACATGACTTAAGTATGTGGTTGTTGTAAAAGTAATATTTTTGTTTTTTCAAACAAAAATGCATCATGACTTTTCCAACACAGTAGTTCACCCTACAAGGGACTAGTATGCCATGATGCAACCATTAAAAAAGAAAAAAGTAGATGCTCTTTGTGTTCTGAACCTGACTCCAGATATACATTATTAAGTGGGGCAGTGACAAAAAGAAATTAGAATGTAGACAGAAGAACAGAGAAATGCTAAGTTTGTGTAAAAACAAGAAAAGAGGTACATAGTCAAGGGAAGAGGATGAGTCATAGAAAGCATCTGGAAATCAAATTTGCTTGTGACTTTATGTCTAATGAATTTATTTATAAATGGGAAAACAGAAAAAACAAAACACAAAAAGTAAAATTGTCCATCAGCCTCTCTTCTAGAGATCATCAATGCTAGCACCTTTGTTCAAACCGAACCTTCTCCCCTGGGCATTAGTTCTATATAACTATTTCTATATAAATAGAGTCACATTCCACAAATCATTCTGTAGTTTTCTTTTGACACCAAACAAATAATATCCTGTGAGTCATCTTCTGATGTCATGAAATAATATATATTACTTAATATATTAACATAATTATCACCTTTTCCTGGTGGCTAGACATTCGAGTTGTTTACATTTTTTCAGTGTTAGGGAGAAATAATTAACATCACTATCTTAGTAATGGTTTCACTACAATATATTCTGAAATTGCTGCCATAGGTCCAGCTACATCCATCTCTTCACAGAGAACAAAAGAAAGAAGAAAAGGGAAAAGCTGTCCTTGTGATGAGAACACTTAAACATTCACTCTGAGCAACTGTGCTCACACCAGAATCCCAAATACCACAGTCCCAAATCAGCTTTGATTTCTGAGGTCAACTAAAATCTGAAAATATTGCAAACAGTAAGATATTTTGAGAAAGCGACCACATTCACATGACTTTAATTACCAGTGTTAACTGTTCTATTTTATTATCATTGTTGTGAATCTTTTACTGTGCTTAATTTATAAATTAAACTTTATCACGAGTGTGTATGTACAAGGAAAACCACAGCATCTAAAAGGTTTCATACTGGATGACTTCAGACAGCCAGAGGGGATCTTGGAAAATACCTCCCAGAGATAAAGGGAAACTGATGTATGTCATACATCAGAGTCAGTATAATCAACATGTCCACTTTTTAGCATCCTAATTCTGTGATGAACCTCCTACTGTTAAATCTCTGTGTACTTCCTTGACTATTCTGGCATAAATAATTTTAAGAAATACAAATGTGAATACAATGCAGATGTGAATGTACCTTTTCAGTCCTAAAAGGCAAACTCCAAGTCTGTGCCAACATGCACACTCACAAGCAGCGTAAGAGAAAACTTTCCAACCCTCCATTTTTAATAGCCAATAAAACAGGCCTGACTTGCTGTTCAAACATGGTTTTCCCCTGCAAAGCTCTCTGTTGTTTAGCCAACCTTCTGGAGTTGTCCATAATGAGTGATGACCAGAAAGTCCTGCTTCCCCCAGGCCAGGTCTCACCATCAAAAATCAACCCCTGAGGCCCTCCCTGGTGGCACAGCAGGTTAAAGCACAGCACTAAGAAGCTAAAGCCACTTCAGCATGAGTTTGATCCCCGCCTGCCCCAGAGGTGACCCACATGGTGCGGCAGACCCGCCTGCTGCCCCCCTCAGCAGTGCACTTGGTCAGTCAGCCTATTCTGCTCCCCACTCTGTCTCTGATGAATCCTCTCACCACACCTTTGCCTCTGGCATGTACCCCAGCTCTGTATGCATGAATAAATAAATCTTTAAAAAAATAAAAATCATCCCCTGGATCCCTGTCCTGAGGCACCTTGGGGGAGAAAAAGAGTATAATAAGATTTTAAATAAGAATCTCTAGATTAGCAGAATCAGACTCTGTTTCTGCCACAGGAGGCCCCAGAAGGCCCAAGTCCTTGGAGGATGTAGACCTGGTAATCAGAAAAGGGGGTTCTAGGTAGAAATCCATTTACAAAGAACTAACTACACACCAACCACCTCACTGAGCACTTGATGATCAAGACTCACTGGCTGTCACTGGCTATTAACTACCCTTATAAAGAGGGTGGTTAACACTTAATCCTCTCTAAGGCACATTCATCCCATTTTACCATTTCTGAAATGAAAGAGAAAGAATCATGGCATCATACTTAATTAGTAGCATTCATTTTCTTTTTTAGAAGTATATAAAATAATGGCATCTAGGATTTAATAGCCAATGGCATTATCCCTGTTTTGTAATCAAGGAGGCCCTGCACAGACAGAACAAATCAATTTGCCCAACACTACCATGCATAAGCTGGGCCAGGCCTCAGTCTGGCCTGGACTCACAACCTTGTCCCACTCCAGCCTCCGCCCAGCAGGTCAACTCTCCCAGCCAAGCCTGACCTGGCCCAGGCAGGAAGGGAGGCAAAGACATTCTCTGGTGTCAGTTAGTGCCCTGTGCCTCCAAGTTCTTGAATTCCAGAGATTTACAAATAAAAGCCAAATCACCCTTTATTTCTGGTGAACATATCACCACACAGGCACAATACCACGCCAGACACGATTTCATTTACAACTCCCAACAAACCAGACTCTATAAACGTGACAATTTATAGGTTAATATGGCAACTGTAGAGGTAACCAGGATGTATGCTTATATCTGAGCCAGTTGCAACCATTTTTGACTACAACTCTTCTGAGCATCATTTGATCACACCCTTCTTCCCTAGTTTAACAAAGATATTATGTGTCTAGGATGAAAGATGAAGAACTGTGTAATCTTTTCCTCCTCTCCCGGTATTTATAGGTATTATTTTGACTGGAAATTTTGGTGCTTAAAAATAAAAAAAGGCCAGAGATGAGGAAGATTATCGCTTGGCAGGTATAAAGTTTCAGCTTGGAGTGAAGGAAAAGTCCTTAAATGGATGTGGTGGTGGTTAAGCAGCGTCATGCATGCACTTAATGCCACTGACTTGTACATGTAAAAGTCATGAAATTGACATTTTTATACTAAGTATATCTGATCAATCACAATAAAAAAATAACGAAACAGATTTACCACATTTTAAAAAATGTATCCTTAGTGAGCTAGGTACTACACGGACTTCAGGTCTACAGACAAGTGACAGTGACAGACACAGAAGGCAGTTTTCTCTGACTCGGCAAGTCAGAGAAAACTGTCCTGCTTCTGTTGAACTGAGGTGTATGTGTTCGCTCATCCTTTCAATAGTCAGAGGTTTTCCTGAGGGTCTACTTTGTTCCTGGAGCTGTCCTGTGGTGCTGGCGATCCTGTGCCCAAGTGAGGCCTGTTCAGTTAGCCTCTCTGCCCCAGCTCACCTTAAACAGGGCACGCACCTCCTGGTCCTCATTCTCCAGCGCCCACAGCCTTCTCCGGGCCGCTTCCTGCAAGGGGCCATTGACACACCTCTTGGAGCGGCTCCTCACGCTGAAGGAGAGTGCCAGGTCTTAAAGAGAGCAGAGAAAGAGCTAAATATCAGATGGTTTCACTTACGTGGGAATATGGAGAAACCGAAGGGTTAGGGAAAGACAGAAACAGAGAGGGCAGGCATTCAGGAGGGGAGGGGAGACAGAAGGGTCAAAACGGGCCTGGGAAGAGCACAAGGGATTGTGGCGATGGCTGACGGGTGCTGTGGTGGTGGGAGAATTACAGGGACAATGCCTGAGAGGAGAATCGACTAGTGTCCAAAAATGAACAGCAATGTAACCGAATAAATTAGCTAATATTTTAAAGATTTTATTCATTTATTCGTATAGAATTGGGGTACAGGCCAGAAGAGCAGGGGTGGAGAGAAGTTTCACCAGAGGCAGAATGGGGAACAGAACAGGCAGAGAGGCGAAGTACACTGCTGAGGGGAGCAGCGGAGAGGCAGAGGAGGTCTGCAGCACCATGTGAGTCAGCTGCCGGGCCAGGGATTGAACTCGCACTAGTGCTGCATCCTAACCCATTGAGCCACGAGGGAGGGCCTTAAGTTAACAAACTCAAAAAATGAGAACAGAGAAAAAAGATGACACTGAAAATAAGATGAAAAGAACTAAAAGCCCATGTTTCCCACACCTAACCCTTAAATTGGTGTGAGAAATATTGTGGCTTACTAGGAAGTATAGAGAGTCTTAATATCTTTGGAGTGCCTTCCTTAAACCATCACCCCGGTGGAAGAAATGATAGTACCCAAGAATGTTCTGGAGTTGGGGAGCTACTGCATTTAAGTTATTTGTGCTTTGTACAGGGTTTATTCCTGCATAACTCGAGTCTGAGGTGATAGTACTGACACAGAAGGTAGGAGGTATATTTCCTCCTATGGATGATTTGAAGGTTTTGAATAAACACTGCAATATCCATATGAATAAACATATATATCATATATATGATATATAATAGATAGAGTTTATATACTTTATACATTAACATTTTCCCCTTCCTGACACAGATAATTGTTGGGTCCCAGCCAGGATGAGCCTCCCCAACCACCCCCGGAGCTTAAGCACAAGATCATAATAGGAAGAAGACATCTTGCCACTTGTGTGAGTGGCTTAACTGATTAATATCCACCCTGATCGCAGTGGCACATGTGAGGGAGATTTCCTCCTGCCCCCAGGCCAACATCCTGAGATTAAAGGTATAAAAGGGAGGCTGGAAAGGATAATGAGAGAGAGAATGTTTTGCTGCAACCATCTACGTGTGCTGACTCTTCAACCTCGATGTCCCCGCGCAGACTCATATCCCTGCCATGCAGGCGCGGCAGATAATCACACCTGTATCATACCAATAGTCGCGTTCTACTCTCAGATAGCAGTGTTCCACCCAGAAAGCGGGGTTTCACTTTCTGTCTGAAAGTAGAACATGGCTATATGGTATGGTTTTATAAGTTGACTTGTGTCTAGAAACACTATTACTACTAATTTATATGGAAAAATTTTCAAACATACCCAGTCTCAAAAAATAACCTGCCAATCATACAAAAGAGAAGCATTCTACTCTCAGATGGTGGAGGAAATCTGTGATTCACTTATC